CTATATGCGAATCTGTTCATTTGCTGCTCTAAGGGCATCTGCAATGGAAGGGTTAACCCTTCACTAGTGTTCTAGGGTGTAATTTGGGGGTTCAACTCGAGCAACTCGAGTTTAATTCGAATTTTTTTAGACCTTAAACAAAAATATTTAAATTCGGTACGGGCTTGGACAAAAATTTAGAAACCGAATTAAATTTGGGCGGACTTGGGCAAAGACGTCAAGTAACCCGAGCAACCCGAAACCCAAATTATACATATATAGATATAAAAAAATTAAAATATATAATATATATATATAAATTATTAGTCATTACATGATATTAAAGTAATTTAGATTATTAAATCATATTGAATATATATTATATATATAAATAACATAAAATCTTACCTTTTTTTCTTTTTATTTTCACTCATAAATTGTAACGACTACTATAGTGGCATCTTTCTTACATTATATAAATTATTTATTTTGATGGTATTAATGACTTTCTATTTTTTTTAAAAAAATTGTAAATAGAGTCAAATTTTAATAATTTAATAATGTAGCTAGGAAAAAAAAAACTGAAATTCATTTACAATTCGGGCAACTCGGACAATTTGGGTTTAAGTCGGGTCGAGCTTGGGCAGACAACCTCGAGTTACAATTGGGGTTGGGCAAGTCTCAGCACAATTTAGGCTAAGCTTGAATAATCTCCCAATCCAACTGAACCCGCCCGAGTTACACCCCTACTAGTGTCAGGTGTTATTTATTTAGCTAGTCAAATTGCTTTTTGCTCCTACAATGGAGCTATTAAGAGGGATGGAGGTGACCAAAAATTGTGTCTGATGCTAATGTTTGTGTTAATTGCGGCGAGCAAGTTAACAAGGGAGGGAGAGAGAGAGAGAGAGACGGGATTGACGGGACTGACAGTGCAATGGGGCGGGGTCCACTGCACTTCTCAATTATTTTATGTTATTTATTGTTTATATATATATATATATATAAATTCTTAACACACCTTTTAACACACGCCTTAACACATTTATTGTATTACTACTCACTCTCTAAAATTAACAAACTCTTAACACACCATAACATATATTTTTAAACCTCGCTTTTATAACTTTTTATTATGTAACACACACATTAACAAATAATTTTAACAATGCTCTAACTACGCAATCGGGGAGCCCACTTGCTAAAAGCCCAAACCTTCTTTTGGCATTGGAATATTCAATTAGGGCCCACTGAGATATTTTTCCTCTTTACACATTTGCCTTTTTATTTTTATTTTTAATTATAATAAAACAAACAACATTGGATTATTTTCATTAATTTTAAAATATTATTCATGAAATTTATTTTTTTCAATATTTTTTTTATAAATTTTTAAAACACTTTTTTACACAAATCTAAATAGTATTAAATAATGTTTCAAAAACACTCGTTAAATGTTAATAAGTGCTTCTAAGGCACTGTTTAGTATTAAAATTGGGATAAAAAAATTTCTTAAAAATAAATATAAAGCTAGAAAGGATATTAATTTAGTGAAAAATATATTAAATTTAGTAAAAAACAATATCTCGTAATATGATTTGAGTTTGAGAGGCAATTTGTGGTTGTCAACTGGTCATAGTTTGTAAAATATCTTTCGGAAGGATATGGAGTGCTATTAAAAATCTACTGTGTTCAGTATTGTTTTCAAGAACTTATGTTTTATTTATTTTTAAAAATTAAAATTAAAACTAAAATTAAAATTTTGTTTAACAGTTTGTTTTTAAAAACAATTTTGGAATAAGAAAATATAAATAATCAAGCTACACCAAACACGGTCTCTCTTTGTTAGCCACCAATTTTGTTTTAGGCCATCTCAATTATGTTTTTGAAACCAAAATGTGACACTGGCTACATGGTTGATTCTGCATTTAATTTTCTATTCTTTAAATGATTAAAATTTTTATGATCTATTATTGCCTTTGTTATAATGTTGTGAAATTTCAGATTGCAAGTAATTGCTGAGGAATTCTCTGGTTCTAATGGGTGAAATAGGAGGGAATGATTACAACCATGCATTTGATTCAGGAAGAAACATAGAAGAGATCCAATCATTTGTACCTCCTGTTATTAATGCTATTGGTTCTGCCATCAATGTAAGAACTTTTTTAACTAATGTCAGCCAAACAGTCTTGATTTTTTGTGTAAACTAATGGGCCGGGTTGTACCGGCTTGAAATTTTAATCACCAAGCTAAGGCCCGTGGGCTTTGATTGGTCGGCAGACCGAGCTTGAGTCGACTCATATTAGATTCTTGAAATCCAAACCTTACCTATGGGCTTAAAATACAGATTCATGAGCTTAGGACCCACTAGGCTATTTTCCCTTATTTAGGGTTTATATTGATTTTTTTTTTTGTATTAAATAAAAAAAATCATTGTGTGAATAAGGGGTTACAATACAAAAGTTTAAGCTTGGGTTTGACAATAGTATTTTTAGTTTTATTTATTTATTTATGAGAATGAAATTGTTTCAATTTTTTAGCATTTTATCTTTTTGCTTTTTTTTTTTAAAATATATATATATATATTTATTTATTTAAAGATCCTGAAAAGTAAAAGATTTTAAAGTAAGTTTTACTTTTTTATTTTTTCCCTAACGACCAAAAAAAAAAAAAAAAACCAAAAAGACAAAAAAGAAGTGGCACTTTGAGCCATTGTCAAACATGGATGAATCTTATTAAAAAAGTTGCTTTTTACAATTATCAACTAAAAAATTTGTAGCCAAACAGTCTAGGTTTTGTAAACTTAAACAGTTAAAAAAAAAAAGAGGGCTAAAAAAGCCGTAGTCAAACAAGGCCCAAAGTGCATCACAAGTTTATGAGCTGGGTTCTAGGTAGCCTACTATAGGCCGGGCATGGTCCAAACCCTTACGCCCAAGCCTAGCACATATATTTTAGTGCTGGTTTGGATTGACTCATTCTTGGGCCGGGCCTTGGCTGGGGTACCCAAGGGGACATGGGTACTTGATGGGCTGTGAGCTTCGGCCTATGTGATGAGGCCCAAAAGAATTTGTTGGCGGATTTTACTACATAGCTCCAAATCAAGCTATTTAGTTGTTTTATGGAACTAATTTTTTTTTTATCATTTTGGGATATACATATTTGTAGGAGTTTATTGAGCTTGGGGCAGTGACACTCATGGTTCCAGGGAACTTCCCTATTGGGTGCCTACCAACTTACTTAACAAATTTCATGAGTTCAAATAAAGAAGCCTACGATCCCGAAACTGGCTGCCTTATATGGTTGAATGAGTTTGCTATGTACCACAATGATATGCTTCAAATAGAACTAAATCGGATTAAAAAACTTCGTCCTTATGCTACGATTATCTACGCAGATTATTACAACGCCGCAATGAGCTTCTTTCGATCTCCTATTGAATACGGTAATCTTATATACATCATTTTATTCATTTCATATCATTGCAATGGTGTGTCTTGTTTTTTCTACGTAACAAAATTACTGCAACTCTTTTATCTACGCAGATTATTTCCAACTCCCTTGGAAATTTTTTAGTATTTAATAAAAAACTGATGAGCAATAAGACTTAAAATGTAATGTTGTTTAGAGTAAAAGCAAGATCTAATAGCATTAGAAAACAATCAACTAAGGCAATTTTTTTTGCCAAGCAAGAAAATAATATAGAAAATTACTAAAAGCTATAAATTTGGGTGCTAAACTCAAGTATGAGGAAAGATACTAGAAGGTCATAGAAACGTGCCATAATAAATTGAAAATTCCTAGAAAAAAAATATAACCAAAACAATTATTTTTTATAATGGAAAAATCACTAATTTAAGGGCCAAAACCAACGAATTATTTTAATATCCGCATTAGGTCACGGAAAAACAATGAGTTTTTCTTGTTACACTGTTTCCAATAAAAAACGGGCCTTTTGGTTTAAATCCATCTACGTGGAGCTAAATTTATAAATATTACTTTGTGATCCGATGGTCAAACTCAAGTATTGGACTGTTATCATGTCTGTGTCGGCCTCTCACGACTTGACTTTGAAACCAATAATTTATAGGCTTTTTGGCTCGGTTTTGAAATATACTATTCTAGATTGAATTGGGCTAATGATTTCAATATATACTAGGCAAATGAGCATATTTACTGCAAATTTATAATCTTTGACATTTTGATTTAAGGGTTTAGTGGAGGAGCTCTCACTGCATGCTGTGGAGCAGGAGGTCCCTACAATTTTGACCCATCTGTGGAGTGTGGGTATCCAGCATCAACAGCTTGTGATGACCCTTCTTCACATGCTAGCTGGGATGGTTTACACATGACAGAGGCAGCTTATAGATGGATTGCGAAAGGGTTATTACAAGGACCATACACTGTCCCTCCCATTAACACCTCATCCTGTGTTTCGCTTCCTGTGATCAGTACTCAATCTTCCAAGTAGGATGGAGAATCATGCTCTCTGTCACAGGCGTTCCTTACACTGAATAATGCTTTATTTGATGGAAAATTGGATCTCAGTGTCGTGCAATTTGGTTTTTTTAAATGGGTTCTGGGCAGACTTTAAACAAATTTAACAAATTGCAGTTGAAACCATGGTGGAACCCAAAAATAGTGGAACCCACATTAACAAATAAACGTGGTATTTATTATTATGAATGGTTGACCTAATGCTCTAAACTTTTTTTAGAGCATGATTGAGTAGAACAAGATGTATACAACCTTATCATTATTTTTGGAGACACGGTTTCGTTACTAGAACTCGAGTGCCAAGGACACAAACAAAAAGTCATATTGTTGACTGTATTGCTTTTTTGTCTAGTAGTAAAAATATATGATAAAGAAATCCATATGTGTATTAAACCCATTTCAAAAAGGAATGAAAAGATTTTCATCAAAACTGTGTCTTTTAGATGGTAAATCAAGGTGAGAAAGAGTAATATTTTTTTTTTAAAGAAAAAAAAAATAGGGTGAACAACAAAGAAAATAAGACGCTTGTTGGGGTACTGCAACCAGCTTGTAGCTTGTGGATATGGTTGGATAAAACAAGGTAGAGGCAAAATGGGCATGGCATCTATAGTTCCTTCCCTATTTATGGTAGCTAAGGTGTTTGTTTCAAGGAAAATGAGTGGGAGTACTAATTAGTGCTACCACTAATGATATGGCAGTAGGCCCCACCATGAATGATTTGATGTTTTGGCCTTGGTATTGTATTTTTTTTCTTTTTTTATTGAGTGCCATGTCATTAGTGGTCTTTTTAGAGTTCCAAAATTAGTGGTCTCTATCATTATTATTGTTTCAATGCCTCTTAGGCAAGTCTTCAATTGTAGCAGGGTTTGGCCTTCATGTTTTGTTAGTCTATTGGGGTTTCGGTGATTGAAGTAGGTTATTTGAGTTTATTATCAACCTTTATTTATCAATAAAGTTCATATTTTCTTTGATAAAAAAAGGAAAAGAAAAAAAAGACCAACCTCTAGTAATTAATGTGCCAATTTAATACTGCTCTATCTTTCTGTTAGCAAAAATATGATTTAAGTCAAATCGATAAAGAAGATTAGACAGAGAAACCAAAATTTTACAAAAAACAAACATATCAAGCAATTGTGGTTGATGTCCTATACCTTGACAGATTCAAGGGTTTTTTTGGAAGTCATCGACAGAGAAAAAAAACTAAAAACTGATATTGTATTGCTGAAATTGTTACTTGTTACAAAAATTTGAACAAGAACAAAACAAAAGGGCAAACTTCACTTTACCCCTGTGGTTTGGGGCAGGTGCGGATTACCTATTGACATTCGAATATCACCACATAACCCCCCTGTGGTTAATGAATTTAAGTGCACAGTTAACACCGTTAATGCCAAAATTAAGTAAAAAGACTATTTTATCCTTATATATATAACCCTTCTTTACCATTCCTCATTTAACAGCAAAATCATCAATTTACAGTCTACTCTCATCTTCATCAACAATTTACAATATCATCAATATCCAGATCTGGAGAACTTCATCTGGGGAAATTCAATCATATACACAAATTCATATATATATATATATATGATCTTCAATTTTTTAAACCTTCCCAAAAATTTATTTTAGTGCCAGATCCTAACTAAATCAAGAAAACAAAAACCCAGCAATAAAAATCATCAATCTCAATAAACCACAAAATTGAAGAACTAAAACATACCCAGATAAGGAAACACAAAACCCCAGCAAAAACAAGCCAAAATTGAAGAACTAAAACAAACCCACATAAGGATTTGAGAACCAGGCCGAGAAAACAAAAACCCAAAATATAATATATATATATATATATGTTGGGAATATGGTACAAGAATATAATCGATAGCTATATATATGTATATATAATCTTCTTTGATTTCTCTCCAAATTATAATATGTAGCTATAATCTTCGTTGATGATGATGCTCACTAAAAGCATCAATGAAGGAGGTATAGAAAAGTGATTGGAAGCTAATCTGAGCACAAACCCACCTAAAAAAAAAATACAAAAACAAAAAACAAACTTCTTAGATCTGCAGGTTTCTCTCTAGCTTCCAAGTTAGCGATTAAACTCTTTCTTGTTTGGGACAACTGTTCTTCTTTATTATCGTCTTCTTCATCGTTTTCTTTTTCTTCTTCGACAACAATTTAGGAGGAAGAGAGGCAAGGAAGGTGGAGACGCCGCGGAGTTGGTGGTCGATGGTCTGGCCGAGGACGGAGAGGTCTTCTTTGATGCCGACGGTAGGGCTGTGATAGTCTGAGGAGAGGGGTTTTGATTGTCAGATTTGAAGGGTTTATCATCACTGTAAATCATCACATTTCCTCTCTCTTTCTCTCTCTCTCTCTCTCTCTCATCTCCTCCAACAAAGCCGTCTCTAAGATGATTGCGCGTAATTATCACATTTCCTAAATTATCACAAAATATATTATTTCAATCACATTTCCTAAATTATATTGTCATCACTGTGAATTGATGAACTTACAATTTCACATCACAAAACAGTATTACACATTTCTTAAATCATCATATTTCCAAATCTGGATATTGATAATGAAGATAAGGGTATACTTTGGAAATTGATGATGAAGATGAGGGCATTTTAGTCATCTAATTTGGCGGGAAAAGTATATTTTCATGTCCATTTACACATTAGGCGTGTGTTATACACGAGCTGTTATGTTGGATGGAAATGCTAATTATGTACTTTAATCCATTAACCACAGGAAGGTTATGTGGTCATATTCGAATGTCAGGGGGTAACTTGCATCCACCCCAAACCACAGGGGAGTAAAGTGAAGTTTGCCCAAAACAAAAATACAAAAGAACTAGAATAAAATGCCAGAAATCATAGAATCACTAAATTTAAACTACTCCTACAAAACTATTCTAAACTCATGTTGAGTGTTGGATTAGATTGATCTCTTTTTGTTTCCTCCTCTACCTATTTATAGGTTTATAACCCTACGATTCATTCCAAAACAACTACTCAAGACAGTTCCATAAGACAATTCCATAAGACAACTCTTCAGTGATAAAGCAACCCACAATTCCGACAATTCATACGTGTCAACTCCAACTTCCACCACTACTCCATTATGTAGTCAACTGCCTCCTGCACAAGCAATAAGATAACAATACTAATACTAATAATAATAATAATAATAATAAATTTTATGTTAAACATAATTTATGATCTAAATCGACTAGTCACAACCAATGAAATTAGATTTGGCCATAATTAACAAGCCACGATCAATTAAACGAGACTTGACCACAATCTACAAGCCATAATCGATAAAAAATTATGTTAATTTACAAATATACGTCCTGAGGTTTGATTAAAATACGAATCGCCCCCTGTGATTTTGAAAATTACATTCCACTCATTGAGGTTTCTAATTTTATAACAAAGCGCCCATTTTATAAATAAATCATCAAGTCAATTAATAGTTTTCAATGATGTTAAAAATATGTTTCAATTAATAATTTAGGTAATTTTATTATTATATAAGAGAGCAATTATGAATTTTATTTTTTTAGTTAATTTTGTTAAATAAAAAATTCTAATAAGGGGATATTTGTAATTTTTCAAACAACATGGAACAATTTGTATTTTAAGCAAACATCAGGGAATGTATTTGTAATTTACCCAAAATTTATTTTTTGGTGTCAACAATGTCCTATCATTTAAGGTAAAATTGAATTTTGCCTTAAATGAAATAAAGGACAAAAAATTTGAGCCAACTAAAATGACATTTTTTAACCATTGTTGTTTTTTAAAATATATTTCAAAGATTAACTTCTGGTGAGATCCACACATCCACAGTGAATGTTAAATTCCAAAACCCAAATAGTTGAATGTCATGAAAAATTCATAAATTTTGACACTTTAAACAATGTCAAACCTCTCCACAAAAAATGGGGTTCCTAACCCTACTGTAAGCGGGAATCCTGTACACACTGGATACGAGTGTACGACCTTTTTCTATTAGCTATTGTTGTTTACATTAGTTTTTTTAGTTGCTATAGAAGCCAAATTGCACATTAAATATAAAATTTTAAGTGGAGTTGGTATTGATTGAGGAATAATACGAGGGCACATTCAACGAAGCTACTAGGCTACAAAGTATGGGTGGTAAAACTTTACATCCTAGCACATGCTTATGAGTTCTCCTTTCCTGACGATGGAAATTCATAGTGTATATGCTTTATGTAGTGCTATCTCCTCTATAGGCTTAGTGTATATGCTTTATGTAGTGTTGTCTCCTCTATAGGCTCCTTTCCTTTTATAGGCTCCTCTCCGCTATAAAAAGGCTAAACTAAACATTTGTTATACACAACTAAGACCATCTCCAACGGTTCACCAAAGTTAACATCAAATTTAAATTTTGATGAAAAAGTTACTGTTTGGTGCTCCAACGGTTGCACCAAATCGATATCAAATTGAGATTTCACCAATCAATTCATCAAACTGAGGACAACATATAGATTTCACCAAAACACTGTGTGTAACCGTTGGAGGGAGGAACCGGTCAACCAGACGGTTGCTCGGCCGGTTGACCAACCGGTCGACCGGTGCACCATTTAAGCCACTGGTTCGTTTGAATCCTCAGCTGGTTGGTTTGAATTGCTGCCTCGCGTGACCGTTGGAGAACAACCGGTCGACCACCCGGTTGACCAATCGGTTGACCGGGTTGGGCAATTCGGCTACAGTGCACAACTAGCAAGAACAGGTTTGAACTGGTTGGTTTCAAGTTGTTTGAGCTGATTTATTTGGACATAGGTTAATTTGTAGATTATGAAAAATTTGAAGGGTGATATAAATTTAAATTCCCTATATATTTGACATACATATTTCACAACTAGCCGTTACAATAATTTATCGTTGGATGGACAGAGTATTTTGAAAATTTACCGTTGATGATGTGCTCTATAAAATAGATCTGATTTCTATATCAAGCTGACAGAGTATTTCATTTTCAGAATAGCATTTATATGTTGTGAATTTTTTTTCTTTTGTGTCATTAGATATTTGTTTCCCTTGAAATTTTAATTAATATTATCTGATTAAATTATCTGATTCTGAGTTTGAGCTTTATATCATTACAATATTTTTCAGTAAGTGTATTGTATTTTTTCTAAACTATGGAAGATTTCGAAATGTTTGAGGAATCACAAATGTTTGAGCACAACACTCATATTAATTTTATGTCGGAATCTTCACGAGAACAGAACACGCATAACAGTGATAATCATTTTATTTTAGAAACTTCTCGTGT